TTCATACAATTGTTAGGAGTTTATGTACCTGCAGTTCAGAATGATTCCTGACATAGGTGTTACAGAGTGAGAGGGAACAGGCAGGCAAACAATGAAATTTGCATTGTGATATTGGCATGCAAACCATATGATTCACGTACTCGTGTTCAACCTCAGGACATAAATATGGGAAACTACATTGCATGCACTGAGCCCATTATATGATTACTCTTTCGTCATTGTGATTTGTGTTTCCAAATCTTTTAATAGGGCACCCAACACACCAACCTCTATTGACATCAATATATTTGCTCGACCTCTGTTTGAAGGTCTTTATATTTCCCTATTCATTCTCACTGATCCTTCTACTTGTAGTTCCTGCAATGATAATTATCCGTATTTGTTTCTTCAAAACTACAATTATAACTTATTATGGTTCAGAAACATATCAGTTTGTGTTTGGGTGTTCTTCAGGATTTTAACTTCTTTGTGTTAACTTCTTTGTGAAATGTCACATGACGGAAACATGATGCAGTGAGTTTGACACCAGTGGTATAGGATCTCCTGCTTGAGCAGAAGGCTGGACTAGAAGACCTTCAATGTCCCTTCCAGCTCTATTCTGATAGATTGTTCACTACCTTCACCACCATTTCTTCCTCTTCTGTCTCCTCCTCCTCCTCCTCCCTTTTCATTGTTAGAGGGTGTGAGATTTTCTTCCTAAAGTGCCTTCATGGATTCATTGTATCCTGTGAATTGGGGAAGGAAACACCATTTGGTGCTCCACCTCACAGACCAAAATGTCTTTCCTCCTGGTCACACACCCCCTCCCCCGGGCTCTTTATGATACAGCTCAAGAGATGCTCCCAGTTGGAAGAAGCAGAGTATATATCCCATGCTTGATTAAATACAGGTTAAGTTCAAAATAAACACCTTCTTTTGAAATACATGCATTGACATGTTTCATGCTAGAAGTTTCTGAGGCATCCGGAAAAAGCTGGATTTGACAAACTCCCATCAAGATTTTGCTTAGATTTTTAAAAATAAACCATTGATTTCTTTCTTATTATAATAATTATTATAATTCATCTCATTACTAGAACTGGAATTAGAAAACGTGTTATATAAACAAATGCCTTAGCTATGCATGGTTTCTTGCTTATTTTTAAAGGAGATTTTTTTTAAACTTACAATAAAACTATCTTTAATGAGTGTTTGCAAAGCAAATATTTATTTCAGTACAGTAGCCCATGTATTTGTAAAGGGGTAAAGATCTCTCTCTTCCTCACTCCCTCCCTCTCTCTCTCTCTCTCTCTCTCTCTCTCTCTCACACACACACACACACACACACACACACACACACACACACAAAGAGAGAGAGAGAGAGAGACTCTTTTAAAAATAATAACAGCAACAGATGGAAAAGATTTTATTGATACAATTTTGCTTAGAAGAGCTTCCAATCCGGAATTTGAAATGCAGGCAATTGAATTAGTAGCTACATGTAAATTTGCTTCAAAGACTAGTTTTCAAGAAGATTTTTAGAAATTAGTTGCCTTGCAGAAGAATGTTGGCTAAGTGTGCTCCCTTCCCCATGTTTCAAAGTCTTTGTTTAATAACATAGGGAATTTATTTGTTTGTTTTACCTCACTTTCCTTGAAAATGACACAGAAATTACAAACATCCATATGCAGAGTCTTACAAGTTATGGTATCTTGGATGAGTTTGGGCAACTAATAATTGCTGGGGTGGGATATTTTTTCCCCTATCCTATATTCTGTTTCTCCAGAGCCCTTTTGCATTAAAGAATGCAAACTGAATCAGAAAAACTTTTCCAACCATCAATTACATATTTTGACTTCTCAAGCTACAAAATTGGGGCTGCATTACTCAATGGTTGTTTCTGATATGTCAAACTGGCTTACAAGACTGATCATTTGGGGTGGTTATTTCTTGTCCATTTCTGAATTATAAAAACCTAAAATCTCCAAGTTTAATTCAGATTCGGATGACTCCTGGATTATTTAACAAGAAGCAGTTTGCCACTGATTTCCTTTAAATTTGGGGGGAGGTGGAACTTCCCATTTTGATCTACTGCCTTGGGGTTTCCTGGTGGGTGCCCCTCCAAGTACTAACCATGTCAAACCCTGCTTAGCATTTAGAGATGAGCCAAAGAACGATAATCAGAGATATATTCTCTGAGTTAAAGTCTTCCCTAAAACAAAATTGATGTTAAACAATGGGTGTCTATATGTCAGGACGAATTAACTAATATTACATTTTTGAAAGTGAATATTTGAATATCCCCCCCAAAAAGCACCACATGTACAATATGTGGAGGAATTATATCAGAGAAGCCAAGAAATTGAGTCTGTGCTTGCCATACACAAAACTTAGATATGGCTCCCTTGGATATAACCTTAAGAAGTTGTTACCAAAAAGAATTATAAATACTATAGACAGTCTGGAGATTGTTCTGAATCCATTCCTTGCTACTTTCTAGTTGTTCCCATGTTTGGGAAATATTTGAAAAAGTGAGTAGTGTGGGTAAGCATAAACCCCAATGTGATTTAGAAATATTCACTGTTAAACAGGTGTGAAAGATGGAGAACCTAGATCAAATATACAAGTAGTTCCTGACTTACAACTGTTCATTTAGTGACCATTGAAAGTTACAATTGGACTGAAAAAAATGACTTATGACTATTATCACCATTGCAGCATCCCCATGTGTTGTAGCCTGCTAGTGGCCAGCAGAGCTGGCAGCAGACTTGGATAGTGAGGAGAACATGGGCCAGTCCTGGAGTCTGGGGAAGGTTCTGATGAGTGCTCTATGTCAGATGCAGAGATGCAACCAGGGCCGCCTGACAATTATCAGCTGCCTTCGGAGTCAAACATCAGTGGGGCAGAAGAACAGCTAGAGCCTATTCCTGATTGCGCATGCACCGAACTGCCAGGAGAAGGGAACAGTTAAGGAACAAGGGTTGACTTGGGAGTAAAGGCTCAGGTGGATGGTGGAGGGGGGAGGGGGGTTTGCAGGAGACAATTAATTCATTTAATTAGGGTGAAGATTAGTTCGTGACTCCTTACCAAGTATTTTCTGGTACAGCCTTGCCCTTGGAAGCTATCGGCCTGACAACTCTCCAAGCCTGATAAAGGTCTGTAGCTGTAAATCACTCTTGAAGGATCATTTGCTGGGATTTTGCTGGGTGTGAATGAGAGGAATACCGTAATAAAAAGGGTTTTGTCAAGACAAGGAGTCTGCTTCTGCTTTGTGATCTCGTGAAGCCTAGGTCAGAACACCATGGTCACTTGATCAAAATTTGGACACTTGGCAACTGGCCTGTATTTATGACCACTGCACTGTCCCGGGATCTTGGGAACATCTTTTGCAACCTTCTGGCAAACAAAGTCAATGGGAAAGCCAGATTCAATTAACAACCGTGTTAATAACTTAACAACTGCATGGATTCACTAAACAAATAAGGCGGGAAGTCATAAAAAGGGGCAAAACTCACCTAACCCCTGGCTCGTTTAGCAACAAAAATATGTGGCTCCAATTATAGTTGTAAGTCAAGACTATCTGTAGCCAGTTTAACTTACTCAGAATTTAAAGTAATTTTGCTTCCCCATAAAGGTGTCTGAACGGTAGGCTAAAAATAAATAAAATAAAAGCCAAAATGGTAGCCACAACAGTATGATTGAACCTCATTGTTTTTATGTGCATGGTAAGATAGATAGATAGATAGATAGATAGATAGATAGATAGATAGATAGATAGATAGATAGATAGATAGATAGACAGAGCTTTGATTCCATCATTGCATCCTTCATCTTGAATTTATCTCGTTTCCCCAACAACAAATCAAGGGTTGGGTAGCTTGTTCCCCAAGGAATTCACCACTGGTATTCCCATAAGGCTTGGGGAGTTTAGGAAACCCAGAGATTCCTTGGTAATGTATTCCTCAGCAAGGTCATATCAGAATGGGGTCAAATTTGTTTTATTTTGTCAGAAATTAGTAGCCATAGCGTTTTCCTGACTCCTACTGCACTGGTAGAAAAATTGAGAAAACAATAAAAAATGACAGTCAAAAACATGTGTTTGAATGAATGTTTGAGAAATCTTCCTTTTTTTAAAACCTTCAATTGATTGATTGAGGTATTATGAGAATACAGCCAAAGCATCTTTCTCTCTCTCTCTCTCCCTCTCCTACCCCCCCTCCCCCACACAATTGGTGAACTTAAAAAGTACTCTGTATTATAGTTAGAAAAGGGACCAAGTATAATAATTATTATAATTCATCTCATTACTAAAACTAGAATTGGAATTGGAAAATGTGTTAAATAAACAAATGCCTTAGCCATGCATGGTTTGTTGCTTATTTTTAAAAGAGATGTTTTTTACCTGCAATAAAACTATCTTTAATGAAAGTTTGCAGAGCAAATATTTATTTCAGTACAATAGCTTATGTATTTGTAAAGGAGTAAAGATCTCTCCCTCCCTCTCTCCCTCCCTCTCTCTCCTTCTCTCTCTCCCTCTCTCACACACACACACCTGCAGATAAAATTGGTGCCCTTAAAATTACTCTGAATTATAGTTAGAAAAGGGACCAGGTATGCACACACCTAAATGGAAATATGTATCCACATAAGCATTTACACTGTTGATCACCCAAACAGAGATTGCCTTTTGGTGCTGACTTCCACAATTAAATTAAGATTCTATGCTGAGACACTATTGCAGGGGGAAAAATGTAATACACACACAGTTGTACAAAAATATTTTATTTATTAAAGTAAAAATTGTACTAAACAACCTATATTTGAAATGCATTGAATTATTGCTAGAATAAATACAGGCAATAAATTCAAAAAAAAATTAATAAAAGGAAATGAATTATTTGACACTCAAACGTTATTACCCCAAAGCTTTAATTTATACAATATAAATAGTTAAAAGGCAAAATCAAGTTTCTTTTTTTCCCCCACTTGTGTTGTTTATTTGTTTTGTTTCCTTTTTTAAAAAAAAAATTAATACTGATCCATTCAGTTGCTAAAAAGGGTTTGTCTGTGCCCAGCTAAAGCGTATATTAAAAATAAATTTGCAAGCCAGCATGCTTGTCTCCATATCACAGACAAATAAAAGGGAAGTGTGTTGCACATAATTTTATGGCAGAGAAATAAGCAAGCCTTCATCTTAATAAAAGATGGTTGAAGAGGTGTCTGAAATCAGATGAATGTATTTTCCACAATCCAGTTAAGAAACTAGACTTGCAAACCAGTGTGGTGCTGATAATACTTCAGTAAATATCCTTTGAAAAATAGTATTATATGATTTTGCCCACCCCGTAGGCATTAGGCGCCCCAAAATTATTTTTTTAAACTAGAACCATACTTACAGGCCTAAGTAAAACAAACTTTGTTTGCAAATGTGAACATCAGCGTTTCTCAATGTTAACCATTTTAAGACTTCAACCCGCAGAAGTCAAGAAGCTGTTTGGGGAATTCAGGAAGTTGAAGTTTACACATCTTCAAATGGTCAACGTGTGAGAAAAAGGCTGGTATGGGTGAACTTGGAATAGATGGAATTACTACAGCCTGTGTCCATGTTTATTCATTTCACAGAGTTACATCTAGTGTGCTCACGTTACCTTGGAGTAAATCACATTCAGGGTTTTATAGTAAACACTTATGAGATTATATTATTAATCACATCTCTGTATTGAAATCAATGGGTCATTAGACTTATTTAAATCATCTTCCATATGCTGGCATTCTTCTGATTGGCAAGATTGAAGTTTCCAGCCACCCTTACAGCCATTTGCCATGCTGATTGAGAATCCTGGATGGAGAATGTTTGAGATGAGATATTGGGTTAATATGTGACTAACTTAATTTTAGATCTAGCTAATGTGTTTAAAAACTTGGGAAGTAAGGAATTACCTTAAAACTCCCTTTTCAGTTTCCAAACTGGGATCATTTGGATTGAAAAATGATCTTCAAATTCCTTTTAGATCCATTTCTTATGTGAATTTTTTTTTAAAAAATCACTTTTATTAATATTAATTTAATGTTGCTGTGGTTTGTGCATTTTTTGGTTTTATTTTAATGAAATTTCTGTACCTTTTAAATATTTCTGTGTAACACAGGAAGCAAGAATACAGGACCCTGGCTATCAAACTGCTACATGATTGAGTACCTTAATTAGTATCTTGGACTATGTCATGTGTTCACGGCTAGATTTTTAAATTAACTTGCTCCAAGATAGCAAAGCAATAGCATTTAGACTTATATACCTCTTCATCGTTCTTTACAGCACTCGCTAAGTGGTTTACAGAGTCAGCATATTGCCCTCAACAATGTGAGTCATTCTATTGACTTCGAAAGGATGGAAGGCTGAGTCAACCTTCAGTCGGTCAGGATCCTGGCAGTGGGCAGTTTTAGCCTGCAATACTGCACTTTAACCACTGCTCCACTGCAGCTCCCAAAGATCCTCACTGATTTTGGTGAAACAGAGATTATGGGATTTATTCATCTGAAATATATACTGTTTTGTAATATCCAGAGCACCTGAAGGCAGGACAAGAAGCAATGGATGGAAACTAACCAAAGAGAGAAACAGCCTAGAACTAAGAAGATATTTCCCCACAGTGAGAACAATTAATCAATGGAATGCTTTGCTTCCAAAAGTTGTGGGTAGCTCCATCACTGGTGGTTTTTAAGAAGAAACTGGACAACCTTTTGTCTGGAATGGCATACAGTTTCCTGCTTGAAGATGGGGCTAGACTAGAAGATCTCCAAGGTCCCTTCTAACTGTTATTCTGTTACTTCTGGGAGGGGAAAACAATTGCACATATCTATCCCTTTAGCCTTAATGGGGCAGCATGTCCTTCAGTACAATCCACAATGAACACAAAGAGTTGTGCATAGTCACTCAGAGAAAAGAATTCCCAGGAGAATGTAGGGCAGCACTCTGCAGATGTAACAAATAATAAAATTATTGGAAGGAAACTGGGATGTTAGACATGGAGAGCTACGTTTCTGGCTGTTCTTATCAAAACGATGAAAGAATTGTTGCAATACAAGCCCCGCCCCTTTTGTCCATGCAACTGATGTCAGAATGGCTCTACAGAAGGGGCGTGGCTTGCAGCAGTATGATGCGCTATCATCAGATGGATTGGTTTCACCGAGGCTTAAGGTAACAGAGAGCAAGGGATGAGATTCATATGAAAACAACATTTGGTGGACTGATGTAGAAGACCTTTTTAGAAGTTTCCCTCACTGTTTTTCTGTCCCCATAAACTGAGAATCAGATTGCTTTTTCCAAATAAAATTAAAGCAAGTCACACGTGTTTATATAAGCTGTAATAGAAATAGCCATTCATCCATTGAAAAATATAGAAGTTAAGTTTTAATTCTTAAAAAAAAAAAAACACAGAGCATCCATTTTCACATTGTGGGCAAGGGTGTTCTCGTTTTTAAACCTTTTATTTTAAAGTAACAATTCTTCAACACCTATTTAGAAAAGAAGGCTGTTAAGTAGGGTGGGAAGAAAATATTTTTGGCAGTAATATAAAATACGAGTTTTTTTTAAAAAAATGGTGTAAAAGGTAAACAAAGACAAATTATTACAATGATATAAAAATACAACTGGGTCATCCACTCTTATAAAAATTGACTTTGGAATTGCATTTGACAGTTTCACGTTTACACACAAACACACACGCAACACACACACACACGTGTCACATCATTATAAAAAAAAATCACAGAACAATGCAAAGAAGTTTATAAATTATGGTTGCAAGGGGTCATCAAATTCTTTGCCTGTGTCTCCAAAACTCCCTTTCTTCTGTGTCTGTCCATATCAGAGTGAATAATGAGGTATATAGGACATTAACACTTTCGGACATACGTGTGATAGAAGAAAGTGCATTTTCAGAGACCACCCATAGGAATGGGTTGAATCCATGATTTTTATCCTCCTCCCCCTACCAAAAAAAGGCACAATCACATTTTTATTTTTTGTTTTTTGTTTTTTTTTTGTTTTTTTCTCTTTTGCTTTGGCATGCTTCGTTAATGTTCAAGTCCAAGCAGCAGTAATCTTTTTCCCTTAGCGATGTCAAATTCAGTGCCACCAACTCTGAAAAGGTTTATTTTCATGTCTCTTGGGGAAAAAAAAAACTTTGCTAAGGGCAGCAAAGATGAAACAACAACAAGAAGAAAATGTCCATGCTGGTAAAATCACACATCAAGAACCATGTCGTATTGTTGTTCCTTCTTCCGCCGGCCACATTTAGTGATAAGAGCTAAATATAAAGTCAAAAGCATCACCCAGTAGCAGGCGTAAAGTATTGTGCCAATGATCAGCACTGTCTGTTTTGATTCGGAAAATGGCTTTCTAGTTTCCTTGTATATGGTGAAAATAACCCCGCCTAGAAGGATTGTAAACCAAACAGACACGGGGATGAGTCCTATGAAATTGACCACGATAGTTTTTCGGCCAGATGTGCCCCATCCTGCCTTGTTTATGGTGGCGATTGCAAACATCTTGGCGGGAAGTAAACTTGACATGTACAACACTGAGTAAAGGGACATAAACACCATGACAATGTTCCCTCTAAGGCAGCTTGCAAAGGAAGACTTGATGAGGCCAACAAGTTGAACAGTCAACAGGAAGAGAAGTATGTTCCACAGTTTCCCCCGGTAAAAAAGTTGTATGACAGTGGCAATGAGAAAAAATGGAAAGAACCCTGTGATGACTGCCTCGTAGGTCATCCACAAGTGGTGCTTGTGGAACCACATGGCGTTGTACAACCACTCACGGAAGTAGGACTTACTCCAACGGGTCTGCTGGTTCAACCATCTGAGATATTCGATGGGTGTCTCTGTAAGGCACTTTGATCGAGCGGTGTACTTTGTCGCGTAGCCCAGGCTCAGGACTCTGTTGGTGAGATGTCGATCGTCTCCAAAGCTACACTGAGAGCCCATGAATTCTTGATTATACCAATCTTCCACAAATTCGTGGAGTAAGGAATTCCTGTACATTCCTAAGGGTCCACTGATACACTGTACGCAGCCAAAGTAGGACTGGCACGCTCGTTCAATATTAAATGCCATCCAATATCTGACACTGCTGAGAAAGGAGATCCATGAATCGTACTTGTTCAAAATCTGCAAGAGAAGGTTAAAGATTAGTTCCTGAGACAAAGACAACAAGATTATCCTTGATAAAGCTATCAATGTTACTTTTAATATTGTAACGTGGAAGGTTCCCCATTTATTGTTTTCATCCATCAGCTCTTATACGCATAAGAATAACAACTGTATAATAACATTTCTCAAGATTTTAGGATGTCCCAAAAGTTTTTATTGCTTTTGCTGCTATAGTAGGCAGTCTTAATAGTATAGTATAACCTCTTATCAGTTATAATGTCTTACCAGTTAATGACTATTTCAGCTTTAACCACAACACAAGAGCACACAGCAGATATAAACTTAATGTAAACCACTCCAAACGATTGCAGGAAGTACGATTTCAGCAACAGAGTGGTCAATGTATGGAACTTACTACCTGATTCTATTGTCGCATTCTCAAATTCCCACTCCTTTATCCTCAAACTAGCCTCTCACCCCATTCCTAAGAGGTCTGTAAGGGGCGTGCATAAGCGCACAATCGTGCCTGCCATCCCTGTCCTATTGTCCCCAATTATTAGTTCCTATTTCTAATATTTAAACTTATGTTCATTCTTATTTCTATTATATTGTAAGCGTTTGACAAATCAAATAAATTAAATAAAATAAATAGTAAATTAAGCCAAGAGTTCCAAAGACTTAATATTTTAGTTTGAATAGATAGCTTTGCTTTGCTTTTTGTCATTCTGATTAAGGGAGTTTAAATTCAATCTTCTCTAACTGATCAGTCCAATAACTACTACGATAGCACGTAATATGTATTCAACAAATTTATATGTCACCTTTTTCTGATGGACAGGTAGTCCTTGATTTATTATCATAACGGAGCCTGCCTACTAGTTCTAATCCCACTTTAGGCACAAAACCTGCTGGGGAATATTGGGCCAGTCACTCTGACACAGGAAGGAGACCAGGACAAACTGGTTCTGAAATCTTGCCAAGTAAACTGCAGAGACTTGTTCAAGCAGTTACAAAGAAAGCACAAAAAATGTCATCCTAAAAAGTCAGTAAGATTACTGTGTTCACCTGTACATCTCCCCCAACACCACCAACCATTGGATCTTCTTCTAAAACCTTCACCATTTCCACCGAAGAAGCTGGATCGAGCATCGTGTCTGAATCACATACCTATCCATTAAAAAAAGCACATAAAAAAAATTAAGAGATCAGGGACAAGATTGTTGAAGAAAAAAAAAAGAACTACAAGCAATTGCATAGTTAAATAATAATGCTTGCCTGTTGATTATATTTTCTCACTGGGTTTCCCAGGAAATCCCATAATGATTACATCCAATAATGTGACTGCGAATTCTTTAGCAATGGATTGGAAATGCAAAACAAGTACACCACAATGTAAAATGTACCACGGTGCCTTTAGAGTATTGGACAAAGAGACTTGTGAAATAGAATAGAATAGAATAGAATAGAATAGAATAGAATAGAATAGAATAGAATTAGAATTAAAATTCTTTATTGGCCAAGTGTGATTGGACACACAAGGAATTTGTCTTGGTGCAAATGCTCTCAGTGTACATAAAAGAAAAGATACATTCATCAAGAGTCAAGAATCATAAGGTCACAGAGAACAAATAAGCAATCAAATCATACTAGGAAACAGTCAATATAGATTGTAAGGATACAGGCAACAAAGTTACAGTCATACAGTCACAAGTGGGAGGGGGTGGGTGATAAGGAGTGGTGAGAAGATTAATAGTAATAGTGCAGACTTTGTAAATAATTGGACAGTGTTGAGGGAATTATTTGTTTAGCAGAATGATGGCGTTTGGGAAAAAAACTGTCCTTGTGTCTAGTTGTTCCGGTGTGCAGTGCTCTATAGTGTCGTTTTGAGGGAAGGATTTGAAACAGTTTATGTCAGGGATGTTTTAGGTCTCTTTCATGGACACTTTTTTTTTTTTCAAGTGGGATCTGTTCCATGATTGCTTGGTTGTCCTGTCATCAGTTTTCCTTGCTATGTGGCCAGCCCATTTCTGTTTCATTTCTTTTACTCTCTTGATGATAACATATACTTTTCTTTATTCTCTAATCCATCTGCAGATCTTTGTATCTTGTCTTGTAATGCTGAGCAGGGGTGGGTTTCTACCACTTCTGTCCACCTCTGTAGAAGTGGTAGCTCTGAAGAGCAGCAGACATAGAACGG